GCCAGGAAAATGACCGCCGCGGCGCCCTCTCGAGAACCAGAAACGGACAATTCACTAATCGACGTGTCAGGGTGGGTGTTCTGTCAACCCCCGAACCTCTACCAGCATCATCATCATCATCATCATCATCATCATCATCATCATCATCATCATCATCATCATCATCATCATCATCATCATCATCATCATCATCATCAACATCATCATCATCATCATCATCATCATCATCATCATCATCATCATCAGCAGCATCATCATAAGTATCGTCATCAGCATCAGCTTCATCATCTGATCATCATCATCATCATCATCATCATCATCATCATCATCATCATCATCATCATCATCATCATCATCATCATCATCATCATCATCATCCTTAGCAGCATCGTCAATATCATCATCAGCATCATCGTCATCATCAGCGTCATCATCTGCATCATCATCAGCATTATCATCATCATCAACAGCAGCATCGCCATCGTCATCAGCATCATCATTAGCATCAACATCAGCATCCTCCTCATCACCGTCATCATCATCCTCAGCATCCTCATCATCAACATCATGAGCAGTATCATCATGATAAGCATCATCACTAGCCTCATCATCGTCATCGTCTTCATCATCAGCATCATCATCGTCATTATCATCATCGTCATCATCGCCATCATCATCAGCAGCATCAGCATCAGAAGTATCGTCATCAGCATCAGCATCATCATCACCATTGTCAGTATCATCATCATCAGCATCATCATCATAAGTATCATCATCATCATCATCATCATCATCATCATCATCATCATCATCATCATCATCATCATCATCATCATCATCATCATCATCATCATCATCATCATCATCATCATCACCATCCTCATCAGCAGCAGCAGCATATTTCTCATCCTCCGTCGCTCTCTCTCTCTCTCTCTCTCTCCTTGCTCTCTCTCTCTCTCTCTATGTCTCTCTCTATCTGTGTCTCCCTCTCTCTCTCTCCCTCTGTCGCTCTCTAGCCGCTGTCCAGGACGCGGTCGCAGTAGCAGGACTTGATGACTGCGTCCTCGGCGTCGATCTGCGACTCGACCCAGGCCACAAAGCAGGGCTTGCAGCACAGGGACTCCTGGCGCCGGTGTGCTCTCTACCGAGAGGTCCCTCGCTGCAGCTGCTGCTATCCGACCTCACTCCCTACAGGGGAGAGGTGATCCTCCTTCTCCTCCTCCTCGTCCTCCTCATCCTCTTCATCCTCCTCCTCCTCTTTCTCCTCCTCCTCCTCCTCCTTGTCCCCCGCCTCCCCCTTTTTTCTCGCAGAGCCCCTCTCCCCGCTCCTCCTCTTAGCACCTACCAAACTGCGCGCCTGAGTCATCCGACGGGAGGCGCTGTGGCCAGTGCCACCACTGAAAAAGGACCAGGCTGGCAGGCTCCAGATCAAGAGGCTGGGGCCACTCTCGATAGCATGGTGGGATACAGTCGAGGTCAGTCCACAAAAAACATTCCAAAGAAACCCAACCCTGAGAACCCAGGACATCCACTGGTTGTTGGTGTGGGACGGTCACGCTTTCCATCGCAAAACCATCTGAACCCAAGAAACCCGCGGCACCCTGGGGGCAAGCAGGCTGTTTCTTGGCATGAGTCTCCGCTGGATTGTCCACTTCGAGGGCATCGATCATGTTATTGCCATGCTGGGGCAGCTGGTTCGTGCAGGGCTTCCCTAATTTGCAAAAAACTCTGGACGCCAACTCCCCGAACGGCCCTCCATCAGACGAAGCCACAGTACTTAATGATCCCGCGAGCAGGGTATAACTGCACTGGGCAGCCACGACAAGTGGACGCGAGCCACTCCTGACGGGGAACTGCTGCGCTGTGCCTGCTATGGCACACCTTGCAAACAAAGCCTCTCAAACCTGTCTCGACGAGGTGCTGAGACTGACCAACAGCAGCTTCCAAGTTAGCTGTTCGCCCAGTCACCCCCTTTGTGAACTCATATTGCCTGTCGGTCTTGGAAGAAGCCCCATAGATCTCTGGGGCGTGGCGCGCGATGTGCTCTCCTACTGCTATCGAATGCCGTTGCACCCTCGCCGCCATGGCGTCAATCCTCGCAGCTTCACTAATGTCTTCCGCTGGCAGCTAGACGACCCTCGCTCCATCCTCGGTGCACATATCAGCACCCGCATTCGCGAGCCAAAGTACTGAAGGAACCATGCTTGCTCAGCTGTGAGATGCGACATGGTGTTGTGAATTGCTATGGGGCGGTCTCCGACCTGCTCACAGAACTGAGTCCAGAGGCGCACATTATGCTCATGGTAGCCCCTCGGACCCTTCTTAATCCCATCGACGACACTCTGCGCATCTACAACTAGCAAAAACGGACCGCTTGTCGGATGGATGGCCCCCGTGGCCGCTATGAGCTCTGCTATCGGTACGGGTTGCATCCAGTGGTCAGATGGGCCATACGCCCAGGCAGCCCGATCCCATCCCCCAAGAGACACAAGCCTCATCTGCATCTGCGCATACGGAAATCCTCATGGCATTTGCCACCCGAACCACCAGTGGCTGTTACCGCGCATTGATCTAAGAGAATAGTCGGGTGCCATTGCGGCTCGCCTCCTGCCACCTGGTGTCTTTGGATCGGGCGGGTCGCATGCTGGTGCGTCCACAACACAAGAAAAAGACCTCTGAGCAAGAAACAGGGCCACTCCTGGTCCCAGACCTGGTGGAACAAAGCCTCCTGTGGCGTTCCGCACATTGGGCAAGCTGGGCTGGCCCAAGCAGGCCGGCAAGGGCGGCAAGGCGCCAGCTCAGGGAGGTCTTCTGGCTGGTCCAGGCACTCCTCTGGCTGTTCTGGCCAAGCAGACTGCTCCCCCTCCTGGGCTTTCCTAAGCATATCCTCAAAAGAGACTCCAAAGTCGTCGTCCTCCTCCTCCTCCTCCTCCTCCTCCTCCTCCTCCTCCTCCTCCTCCACCTCAGCCTCCGCCTCCGCTTCCGCCTCCGCCTCCGCCGCCTCCGCCTCCGCCTCCGCCTCCGCCTCCTCCTCCTCCTCCTCCTCCTCCTCCTCCTTCTCCTCCTCCTCATCAGCATCAGCATCAGCATCAGCATCAGCATCAGCATCAGCATCAGCATCAGCATCAGCATCAGCATCAGCATCGCCATCATCATCATCATCATCATCATCATCATCATCATCATCATCATCATCATCATCATCATCATCATCATCATCAGCATCAGCATCAGCATCATCATCATCATCATCATCATCATCATCAGCAGCATCAGCATCATCATCATCATCATCATCATCATCATCATCATCATCAACCTCCTACGAGCCTCCGAATTCCTGCTGGCCCTCGGCTTGAGAAAGCGGGGGGGCCTCGGCGTGCGGTGTAAGAGGCCTCATTCCCAAAACGACGGCCGGCTGGCCACATAGCTCCAGCCATTACAAGTCCCCCCCCTAACCTGACGCCAGGGCCCCGAACATGACGCCGCCCCCTCCCTGACGAAGCAACATCCGCCATCCCTGGCGACATGTGGGGCTAAACGCTTGTGATGCTACGTGCTTGCCTCATATGTTTGCCACTCGACTTCCTCGGATGTGGACGGCGCTCAAGCGGGAGCTTGATTGAAAGTCTTCGCGCCGCAAGCGCTCACCGGAGCCCACCGGCACCGCCATCGCCCCGGCCAGGGCGCCTCCGGAGCCCACTGGCAGCGGGGCCGGCGTCAGGTTAGGTGCCCGGCGTCAGGTTAGGGGGGGGGGATTGCACCATTCGAGCTACAGCTACCACATCGTATTCACCTTCGTCTCTCATCTGACCCAAACGCGCTCTGTGGGTGCACGAGTCTGGGCCAAGCTCGAGGCCCTTGCCGAGACAGTGCTTGGCCGCTGCGGCCCAGGCTTGTGAGTCCGGCGCTCGAGACCTCCGGGGCTCGCGGATCTCGAAACCGATCCGTGGGAGGCCTGGGCCCGGGAGCGAGGGCGTCAAAAGGTTGTCTTCCGATACTGGCCATCGCTCGGACGTCTATTTCCTGTGCCTTTTTTGCGTGGTTTTTTCGCCAAGTTATCGAGGATGCTCCTCGATGGTCCTCGCCGAAGAAAAAACGCACACGTCCGAGCGATGCCGAGGATAAGGCACAGTCCGCAACACATTATTGTCGGGCCCTATGAAAAAAGGACTTGAAGGATGAGCTTACTGCAACATCGTTGACGCTTCGTGGGTCTGCGCTGGTCCTCCTCATCCTCCTCATCCTCCTCCTTCTCCTTGCCGCGCGGACGAAGACAAGGTCGAATTCACAACCCTCCTTTTTTCAGACCGCACTCTGAACTGCATCGGGGCGCGAACTCGACCCCCTACCACGCGAACGAAGACGAGCTCGAATTCACGACCCGTCCAAGTTCAGACCACTCGTCGGAATTACCCTGGTCCTACACTCTGGCTCCTTCCTTCTGTGCTGTTGCACAGGCGCGGTGGCGGGGTTTGCCGCAGGCAGCTGCAGAGGTCTCCGCCCCAGATCCATTCTTCATCGCCCCGGGGCCAGGGAACGGCCCCCAGAGGCCGAAATATGTTTATTACTTATAGAAACTCGCTGAACTGAGATTGACATCAACGCTTGAACCTATTTTTTCCGGAGCTTCGTGCAAATGTCTTCGATCGGCGCTGGGGCCCCTTCCCCTGGCGCACGAAGGGCCGGAGCCGGAGGCGCCGCCAGTGGAGCCCAGCGCCGATCCGAAGAATCAGCGCGGACCTCCCTTCCGCGACGACGACGAAATCAAAGGACTTCAATCCGCCAGAGGCCAAGCGAGTCAGGAGGTCGGGGGTTACTGAAGGTGCCCCTGGCCAAGGTGCCCCCAGTTCTTCGCTCAATCTTGGAGCCCCTGAGACCCTCTGGGCCTCGCGAGGGGTGCTCTGGAAGCCGCGGGGGCCTCCTTCAAAAACCTCGGGGCACCTTGGGCCAGGAGCAATTCTAGCAACACCCGAGGAGGACCGCCAACAGGGGCTTTTTCACGCGCGAGTTGGCCACTGGCCGTCTGTGCCAGCCGCGCTGCAACCCGCCGCCGACTCTGGCTCGGCCCTGCAAAGGGACTGGAAGCGCATCTTCTCGACGCGCCACTGGCCCAGGGCCAC